ATGTGTGTTTGTTACCTGCTACTTGCTTTTCTCTTGACTTTTTCTTTCTAAAGCATTCATATAGCCATGAGAACTTTCTTCTCATGTCTTGTTTACAGCCTTAACTGCTAAAAGAATGTCATAGTCTTTTCCATGCTAAATGCGTGTGTGAAAGGAGTGTGACAGCAAACATGATACCTTCACACCTGCAGTTGTCTTTTGAACAAATGTAAATATAGCTTTCACCCTCAAGGACAGACCTCACAGGATCCCAAGGTCCTGAAGTGCCATTCAGTATCACATAAACTCAAATTTCTTTGAAAGCATGTTTATAGTGAGTAGTAACATCAAAGATGTGAATTGGCCATGGTACACAGCCTGTTGTGGCAGACACTGGTGAATCCTGTGATGCTGGCTGTGCATCCCTCCTCTTCTCAGACTGGGCCCGTCTACCCCTAGGTTAGTGTCCTGTAATGCTGTTTTTCATCTTCCAGTCATACTGCATATATATATCATGCAATCTTGTACTGCTCTCTCCTGCAAGCTCATTTCCATTAATTATTTGGTTGTGGTATTTTCGCTCTTTTTTTTTTTTTTTTTCTGGAAGCTAGATTCAAAGACAAATAAGACTTATTCTGATAAACTTTCAGGAAACATTCAGGGAAGAAAGAAAAAAGCAGAGCTATCTTGTTGCTGTTACACAGACTGTAACCATGGACCTGCGTAAACAACTGGAGAATACAGAGAGGAACTGGAATAAGGAGAAGATGGAGCTGCTGGAGAGATTTGACAATGAAAGGAAAGAATGGGAATGTCAATGGAAGGTCATGCAGAAGAAAATTGAAGAGGTACTTCTAAACAAAACTCTGAACAGTGACATTTTTTCTTAAGTCTTTTCAGTGACTAGAGGTCACTTTGATTTATTTTTCTCTGAGTTATATCCTATCTCCTATCTGTCACTGGGATTTTGTTATAGCTGATGGTAGGATACAGAGCCTGGTGTTAATCAGCATTTGCCATTGTTCATTTAATATTCACAAATACGATGTAGGAGGTTAAATGTAACTGTCAAGTTTGCTGTATTGTTGGCTATATATACCGCTGCCAGTTCTTCTGGCCGTGAGCCACAGTGCTCATTTTATACATGTTCAGACACGCTGAACAGATCTGCACGTATGGGGTTTAGGAAAATGCATATTTAGTAACAAAAAAATCTAGGTATTGTAATTCTCTGGCAAAAAAAAAAAAGGGGGGGGGGGGGAAGGGAGTTACATGGCACAAGTCTGTTAGAATAAATGGTAATGTTAAAAAAGTAAGCCATACATCAAACGCTGTATGATGCAGAACTTTTCTGGCTAGAACCTGCTCCATTTATGGACAGCATTTAGTAGAGAAAACGGCTACAATAAATAGTATGAAAGCCCTGACACCACTTGTGTTTACACATACTAACAAATTACTCGCTCTGTGCCATTTGTAAGGCATCTCCTTCCAGAAATAGTTTAGGTAATTTTTTGTTACTCTTTTATCTCCAAATTGTCACTTCAACAGAACCCTCTGACACACTGAAATGCATAAATGGAATCTGCTTTAGCAACATACAGAGACAAGCTTTTTCATCACTGAGCTTTCCACATTTTTCATGCTAATATACGCATGGAGTAGTTTTGCTTGCTCTCTGCCAACACCTCCCTGTGGCTGAGCAGCACAGGAATGTATGGCAGAGACTGCTTACAAGGAAGTACGAGAAGGAAAACGAATTGCAGCCATATACTGCCCTCAGCATACAACATAACTCCATAATGTCAGATCTCCCATATATTACCTATAGTTTTTACAGACTTTGGTGTGACAGTCTCTGCTGCATTTTGTCCTTTGTGTTAAGACATTTTTGCTGTCTTACCTAATTTTACCACCAAAGTGAGGGGGCTTCAAAAGTTAGTTGTGTATATTGAAAATAAGCTTGTTAGGTTTATGAGCGGTTTTCAAATGACAGTAATGTGTTGTGAAAAGGTATTCTGATTATTAGTAGTTCTGACAATGTCAGTGAAGGCCATGTTTGTTCAATGTTTTTTATTAGCATATGGATTATAAAAGTATGACAGAGAAAAAAAGATAGAGAATGGAATGGAGCTGAAGGGAATGGATGAGGCAAATAGCTGAGTATTGCAGGACCAGACAAAACTAGAGATGATACCCCAAGTTTATTGGTATCCTAAGGTCCCTTCTTAAGCTATGTCTGTAACTAGCTACCCTTGATTTCAGTTCCCTGATGTTTCTTCACTAAAAGCCACAAGGGTGGAGAACAGGGGAGATGCCTTTTAAATGCCATCATCTGTAGAGGGTTTTCCTCAACAAAACTTGTGCTACCTTATCAACTTGTAATTTCATTTGGTAGTTTTCTCTACCCCAGTAAATACTAACTTGGTTCATGGATTCCTCCAGGAAGACCTACGTGATTTAGGAGATGATATTGCTAAGTTACGAGGTAGTATCCTTCCTTCTTATTGCTGTGCTGAACCCATATGTAGCCCTCATTTCCTCATTTCTAGGAAATTACAAAGTTTAGTCCTCAGGTTTCATGAGCAGCTGGGCTTTGTGAGTGAATTTGAGAGTTTAGGATGAGGTCAAGTGTCAAGTCTCTGAACATGAGAATACTTCAGATCCACAGCACTACCCATGAAATGTCCACATGTTCTTCACGTTGTCATTCTTTTTCACCATCTTTCCAAAAGCCATTGGGTTGGCCTTATACACTGTGAAAGAGCAGGCAGATGGCTGTCCAGAGGTGCTTGCTTTGTGCTTTCTTCATAAAAGCAAGTTAAGAATGAATGTTTATAAAGAGCCATGGGATACTTGGCACAAGAAGTGATACTGTAAGCAGAAGAGGTTTTTATGATGTTGCTATTTTTTCTACTTTATAATTTGTCAAAGTTCCCTGGTTTTGATGTGCTGGGTAACAGGAACTAACACCTTTTCATTTACTAATAAAGCTACTGGGTCTTAGCAGACAGTGTGAAAGAAAATAAAGGGGTGACAGCATTTGCCAAATATGCCATTCTGGACTTATCACTGAGTCATAGAGAAGAGCTCTGTGATTTAATAGAAAGTTGTATTGTTTTTTTCAGCTTTACCAGGAGGTAAAACTTAGACGGGAGAACAACATGAACGTCCATGATAATAAGGCCATTCAGAGCAAGATGCCGCAGCTGTCCATGCATTCCCCTACTTCAGAAGAGAGTGACACAGTGGAGCTGAACTATCAACACAATGTGGTAAATGACAGGATGGAAAAAGGGAGTTTGCTCAGTAAAACAGGACCTGAAGGTAAAGAAGCCAGAGCCAAGAGCAAAAACAATATTCTGCTAATGGACAATTTGGCCTTTGAGAACCATGAGGAACCTGAAGACAGTATCAGCATCAGAACTTCCAAGAAAAATGCCAAGAATTATATTGGTGATCTCAATGTAGTAAGTAAAGTCTACCATGTTTCAATTATAAGGGTGAGGAAAATACTGAGAGCTTTGGCCTGCCAGGGTTAACCTGAAGAACTGATCTTCCGTATTTTATTTTTGCAGACATTTTATTTCCTCTACTTCCTCCTCAGTTTGCCATTGTTGTGTGTCTTACCACTGTTTAAATGTGCTAACAGCATGCACTTTACATCAGTTCCTAACTGGGGGGCATTTTAATATCTTTCGCTTTGCTAATTCCCTTTGCTGTGAGTCTTAAATTCAAATCACCACAAGTTTCAAAATAATTCCGGAGATACCATTTAAAGGCTTATATTAAAAGACTATTCTTATATTTACAAAGGCTCTTAAAGAACTTGCCAGAGTTAGTGAAGAATTATGCAGCTATCAAGAGGAAATTCGAAAGAAGTCTAACCACAGAAGGTAAAAACATACTTGGACTCTTTATCTTAGAGGAAGAAAATTAATAATGAAGTTGTGTTCCTGTTCACTTTGAAGGGAGGTTTGCTCTTGAATTTATTAGCAGTTGAGCAGTTTCTATCCTCTCAGTCTCTCAGTGCATAAAACTTTCAAATTAAATTTGCTGAAATATAATAAAAGGCCATGTTTTACTAGAAGAATTTAGTTTATCTGTAGATCCTACAAAACGAGATAAGTACTTGTATGAGATGACATTGTACGTGTTTTTCTAATGGATTTATAGAGGTTTGGGAAAGTGAACAGATATTTCTCTTTGCCCTGGTGCTGTTTCCATGCGATTCTGTACAATGTTGTATGGGTATGGTTGGGAGGTTTCTTAAACCCAGATTTAGCCTTAAATATTGGAGATATGTCAGGGAATTATAATCCAAGACTGCGAAGAAAGCAAGAGAAGGAAGAACGATCATACATTTGTATGAATGGAAAGATAGTAAACCACACCCTGAAAAGTACAGTAAATGAATATTCCATCATCTGTTAAAAATTCAATGCTCATGGTCTCTTTTAGCAAGCTAAACACCAGACTTTCTCTTGAGTAGTGCATAAATGCTCAGAAGGTAAGACTGTACCCATGATCTGACATGGTGTGACACATCATGAAAGAGATGGAGATGGGCTATGTCTAATCTATGACTAATCTATGACTGCTGAGCTCCCTAGGAAACCTGCACATGGCAAGCTCACATGCACCCAAAGATGAGAGGGACTCCTTACACTCCCCTATGCAACCATACAGTCAATGTGCTGCCTGTCACTAAGTTTTTATTGCCACTATCCTTGCTATAGGACAGTTAAGGAAACAACTAGTCATCTGACTATCTACCACTAAAAACTCTGAAAAATAATTTTAGTGTCAAGAGAAAGGAACACAAAATTCCCTGGGTTGAGCTTTCTTCAAATTCTTCATGTATTTTTCAAATATGTTGTATGTATCAGCTGCAGCAAAACCACTCCCAAATCCTTTTAAGTAGCCAGCATTAAAACACCTGCTCTCAGAAAGAATGGATCCATGCTGAGGTCCCCTGGGGGAAAACCCTTATTGCTCATCCCTAAAATACCTCTTCTTTTATGTCCAGAATGAAGTCACTTCCTTTCCTGGGGGAATTTGAAGAAACCCAAAACACAGTTATTCTGCCTGAGATGAACCATGTGGCCAGCAGTGAATCACAGACTTCAGCTGCTTTTGAAACAGAGGAGCATAATAATAGGAAGAATCTGATGAGCTCCAGCAAGGGTTTGAAGGACATGTCCTATGGTGGTCTTATTGGTGACGGAGGAGCAGACTTCAGACCTTGGCAAAAGAAAGAAGCTCCACCAGTTCCTCCACGGAGCACTTCTCGACACCTAGCAAATTCACTTTCTGCAGTAGTACAGCTTTCTGAAGCACCCATGAGAGATCCGGGCATCAAAAGCACTTGCAAAGTTCAGGACTGTAGGAGTGGAAGGAAACTGATGAATCCATTGCCTATAAATCAAAATGAAACCGCAGTGACAAATGAAGGGCAGACTGTGAAAGGTCCTGTGGTGGTAACTGCTGCAATACCTGTAACCAAAAATGAGTGCAATGTACCAACAAGTTTCTGCCACAACACGTGGGCATATGATGCTGGCAAAGACAGTAAAAGTGAGTCCTCCCCACTGTCATCCCAGAAAAGTTGCTCAGATGGAAACATGGCCCAAAGCAACAAGATGCACCAGAAACAAAATCCCAAGTCTCATAGCAGTCTTTTTTACAGTAATGACTTTTATGCCCCTGCTACCCTGCACAGTGATCTTTTGGGAGACTGTAGGTATACTTTGGGAAAGACCCCAAGAAACGAAACTTTAGCAGCAAAGATTGATGAGTTTAACCGGACTGTATTCCACACAGATAAACGTAGCAATGTTTTGCAAGAAAACATGGTGATTCGAACAGCATCAGAAGATCACAAACCCTGCAGCCCACCTTGTGACTCTGCTATTAGCAGGACAGAAACTGTAGATACATCTTGTGTTTCAAATCCTGAATTGTCTGCACAAAAGGAAAAAGAAACCAGCAACCCCAGCAAAGCTGTCAGATCAGCAGGGCAACAAAAGCAAGTAAATGGACTTCCAAGTACTAGCAGTTATAGACACATGCTTCATGAGCATGACTGGAGACCAAGTAATTTATCCGGTCGCCCGCGTTCAGCTGACTCAAGGTCAAACTATGGTGTTGTTGAAAAGCTTTTGAAAAACTATGAAAAATCCACAGTGACTTCTCCATGTAATGAAAAACACTGCAAAGATAAGTGGACACGGGCAAACACTGAATCTACCGATGGGGGTTGTGAGATGTTGAGTCAGTATTTAGAAATGCTTCAGATTGAGCAAGGAAAGCAAGAATTTCCGAGGAATTCAGCCAGGCATATTGGGCAGCAACTCAAGCAAGGAAAGGAGAGACAGAAGTTACCAGAGGTAAGGTTCATAAGAGTGGCAAGAGCAAAATAGTTCAGTTTCGTACCGAGCTTCAGATTCTAATGTGAGGCAAGCTAACCTGACAGTGTAAATAATTACATAAAAATAGATTATTTAGGCCAGGATCTGGATGAATGAGGAGGATTTTCATTGAAGATAATAGAGTTTTAGGCAGAAGCATGTAAGTAAGCATGACCAGTGAAGATGTGTGCCAGATTCTCCTCTCTGCTGCTGCTGCGTAAAACTAGATTTTAACTGCAGTACAGTTATTCAAGGACTGAACTAATGAAAATTGCAATCAGATTTTAACTCACTCCCCTCTTCCTTTATCTGGCTAGATATTTCATAAGACTTTCCAAAAGTCTTAAGCACACTGTCATGTCAAAATCCTAGAGGAGACATGATTCTTCAGTCCTGGGTGCTGCTTGTTTCAGGATTTTCTTGGAACTGCCTTTGAAAATGGGTGCTGTAGCTTCCTTAAAGCCTTCCAGTATTAAAGTGACCTCCTCTTACTCATGTCTCAGTTCCAGGCTTGTCCTATATATTCAAGAATAGGCTCACAGGAACAGAAGAGTATGGCATAACTAATTAATTTATATTTGGCAGAAATGTATTTGCAAAAGTTTAGAAGTATTGCCTTCGCCAACATTCTTTCTTAATGAGAAAAGAAACAGATGTGTTTGTGTTGTTTTTTTTTGGGTTTTTTTGTTTGTTTTTTTTTTCAAATATACTATAAGTTACAGGTTTTATGAAAGGCCACAAAGAAAGAAAAATCAGTTTTTCTGAAGAGCTCCTTGGCCAAAGAACACAAATAGACATGCCCCTTAGCATCTCAGAAAAGAGAAGGCAAATGTGTTCAGAGCCGAGAAACTTAAATGGGTTTAGACTGTCAGCTGGTATGCCTTAAACTGTCACAGATTCACAGACTTCAGTGGAGCCATGTGAATTTAAACAGCTGAGAATCTGACCATATAGATTTTCTACTGCTTGTCTTTATGTCAGCCTCTTGCAGCATGTTGTTTAGCAGAAACACCTTTGCTACAGCATAGAGGAAAACCTCTGATTTCTTTTTTATCCAGTGAGAGTTTGACAGGAAAATGAAATTTCATCAATAAGTATGTAGGGAAGAAATAATGATCAGATAATGGCTGAATTTATGTTGATATCAGCCAAGAATAACTTTAGTAAGCCAATTGGATCACTTTATCCACTCACTTTACGTTGCTCACACTTTATATGGCTGTTTATGTTGTATAAAGTGTGGGTTACTGCCTGATTAGGGGGTACCATTCTAAGTCCAGCAGCATTCATGTCACAGAGGTGTAAGGAACTACACGTGGCATGAGGCACGGAGGAATTTGGTTTATTTTCATTATTTCAGATTTACATCACTGTAGCTAATATCAAAGTCTGTTGTTTTTCTGGTGTATATAGGGCTCTGCGTGCAGACATGACACTGCATTAATAAATAAGCATTCTGAATTATTTACCAAGAGTAAACAGCTTCATGCTGTGCTAATGGAAAAAGAGTTCTCAGCAAGATGTGACTGCTGAAAAAGGATTTATCAGAAAGTGCTTGAAAGTCCATAGACCACACTCCAGTAATGTAAGATGGCATTCTGACTTCTATGTGTAGAACAGTATACAGAGTTCATTCACAAATCTTCCAAAAAGGAAAATAAATAAACAGGGAATGTTCAGTTCTGTCTTGCATTAACATTTTGTCCCTTTCCTTGCATCTGACACTTGTCTCCACATTTTTTAAACTGCCATTGATGCGAGAAGCCCTATACATAGAAGTAGCTGTTCTTTTCCATTCTGTTCATTGCTGCGTTCCTTTAATAGCTTCAGACCACCTGCTCTGCGGTCATCCTAAATTTCTTCCTACATTCCTATTGCATTCCACAAAAGACTTTTGTGCCCTAACGTGTTAAAGCAAGGAGCTGCCTTTGTGTTCCAGATATCTGTGCCAGCTAAATGTTCAAGTGGGAAGGGTTTCTCCCGACCAGCCCGACCAGCAAATCGACGTTTACCTTCCAGATGGGCATCGAGATCACCGTCAGCACCGCCTGCTATGAGAAGGACATCATACAACTGCTCTGTCTCCTTTCGTTCAGAGACTTCAGTAGTCTGAACCCAGAGATGGGTTGGGTGGTGTTGCGAAAGCTCTGCACCTCATTGTAACTGTGTTTGACATGTTACAGTGACCAGTTCTACCCTATCCTATCTTGTCCAAGAATGACCCCATCACATGCCGGACAAAACATTTCGAATCTTAGGTCGTCATCATGGTCTTCAGTGTTTTTATTAAGATGGAACAACTATATCCCTGGTTTTCTCCTTTTTTTTTTCTTTTTTTTTTTTTAGTACTAGCTCACAAAGAGTTTATTTGGAGTGGCATCTTCCTTAATTTGCCAATCAGTTTTGAGTTGGAACAATGTATAGTGCTGTATATTCTGACTCTTCTGCAAACAGCAGAACGTAAAGCTGTATGCATGATCATGTGTTTGTAGGTGCATGTGTTGGACTAGGAAGTATACAGGTCTGTATTTAGAAGAGAAAAACTGTGCTAGTGTTGACATTGAAACTACAACCTATATGCCGACATATATATATATATACTTTGTGTTATTTTAAAAAGTTTGAAATATACAGTCCTGATGACATTTATATTTTGTATATCTTTTACATAGGTTCACAGGTGTAGTATTTAATGTACAAAAACTAAATATGCATTTTTGTGACTGATTGCAGCGATAATGCCTTGCACAATATGTATCTGAAGCAGACTAGCTCGACTGATTTGTCAGTCATGCTTCATGGCATCCTCGTTCAGTTTCCTAACCCTTATGATACTAGGTCAAAATACCCAGACATATTTTTTCTGAATTAAAATATTATATGATTTGTAATACATTAACCTTTTTCAGCACCAGAGACATTCCTGAAATGACCGAATCCCTTTAAAAAGCTTAAATGCGCCATTATATATATAGCATACAGTAAACACTTCGGTAGTTTCAACTAGCGTAACATACAATTTATGAAGGGAAGATAAGAGTTGTATATGCTCAATTCTGTGAAACTTATTTTTCCTTCTAGCGCTATACTTTGAGGTTTGGCAAAGTCAGAGAACAATGGACTTGTTTACTCTCACTCAAGGCAGGAGAACAAGGACCGTTGTTGTTCCCAGCGCTGCAGGCACACTCCTTTTTTACTCTCCTCCTAGACTAGAGTGCCTGAGCCACTTGCTAATGTACCGCTCCCTGACTGACTCGTGGCAGTCAGTTACGAAGTTTACGTGCACTCTGGCAACAAGCTGCATCTAGTACGGAAATACTGCATCAAGATATCATCACAGTGGTGCCAGAAATCCCAGGCAAATGGCATTGGAAGTGTGTTTTTGCTATCACCTGACTCGGCATTATGGGCCATTGCGATGATGTGTACAGAGCCTGGCTTGTTCCTCCCCACAGTGTGAAAGAAACACAGATACTACCCAGACTCTTGCTGAAAAGACGGTGTCCCTCATCCTGGAATTTTTGCACCCTTTTCAAAGCTGTTGCTGGATGCGTAGTGTGGTAAAGATGATATATGTCGCCTTTAAACAACATGTCTAGGTTAAAAGGAGTAAAGAGGTGCTTCAACATCAGCCTAATCTTGTCTTGCAACTTTTCTTCTTCTCCTGGAGAAACACAGTGTGTTCAAAGGAATTTCAGAAATCATCCCAGGATCCATTAATGTGCACATTTCATATGTGAATGTAAAAAGGATTTCAGAGAGGGTATAGGCTTTTGTCCTAGTGAATTGTTTGTGTGGCAATATAGGGAAAATTAGTTGTGCTTAATTTGATAGTGATATATTGTCTTACTCCAATCATGATAAGAATCCACACCTTTTTGCTTCCTTTTAGGGCCTTATTCTTCTTTCCTCTGCATGACTATAGTTTTGCAGAGAGAGAAAGCAGAAGACAGCTTGTTCTGAGCAATATACCCTCCAAGGTAGTATCAATAACTTTTTGGGCAAGCCAGTGTTGGATTGAGCAAGTATTAGAGCCATAAATCCAACCTTAGCCACGCTGTCATGGCTGCCTGATTGGCAAAAGCATGCTCAGAATAATTTGCCCAGTCTTAACTTCCTGGTACTTTCTATGTGTGAGTGGCAGGAAACCCCATAACAATTTATGAAGGCTTCAAATGGATCTACAATTCATCAAAATTCACTTGGACATTATTGCAAAGTAATTACTGGAAATTGTATAAGGACAGAGAATCTTGAAGAAAATATACAATTTGGACAGAGGCAAAAATCCGTGTGCTCAAGTGAAAAATCAAGAGTATTATAAATGTTCTTGTTTGACCTAATTTAGAGATTGCACTCCATTAGCTTCCTTAGAACTAGAAAAATTACAAATGATTTATAGTGAATTGGGAACCTTGCTTAGAAGTTTATCTAACTGTGGAAACCGGCAAACTGAAATGCCTTGCAAATTGACCTTTTAAATGCCTAAGTAGCTGAGCAGCTTTAAATGCCTAAAGCTGAGGAAAGGTTAATGTGAGAGAACTGTAAAATTATGGTTCTTAATTTCAGAGTGCTGACTGCAATCAAACTTCCTTCAGTTACCTTTATGGTAATGTTAAGCAGTTTTGTTCTGAAAAATGGTGGTGCACTTTTGTTTGACGAATGTAACTATGAAAGAGTTTCCCTTAATTAATCAGTGAAGGTGTTTCTTTAGCTCACTTAATTTTATTTATTTATTTTTTGGTTGCTTTGGACATATATCACATTGTTGAATAACAGAGAAAGGATCAAATACTTACAACATTCCCTGATGTATGTAAGTTTAATGAACAGAAGGTTTTTGAAATAAAGAATAAGTCCATTTTGTCAAGATTTTCTGTGTCCATCTAATTATAGACATGATTCTGATGCCTGAAATTATCAAAACTGGTGATTTAGGTCTGTAGGTGGCTAGATGAATATACCAATTTTAGAAACTTGCTGCTGAAGCTATTTAAATATCCTTTTCAGTCATACCCATGACAGGGCCAGTGCAGTGCACTGCTGTGAGTTTTTTAGTTCCCAGAACTGTGATTACTGAACCATAGTACTGGCTTCATTGCACTTGCTGTAGGAGGAAAGAGCTCCAGGTTCCCCCATATGACAGGAAAATGTAGTTATCTTGGAAGCTCTTGGGCAAAAGAGGCTCTATACACATGCACACAGATACACTCGTAAAAGAACCATAAATAGCCTAGGTAGAATCAACTCTACTTATTACATAATGCCGGTGTCGCCTACAGAAGCTGATTGTTTTCTAAGCCATTTTTTAAAATAAGTTTTTATTATTCTTCTATATGCCATCTCAAGTCTTAACGTCGATACAGAGTCTTCTTACCTGTGCTTTGAACAAGTCTGGGATCTTGTGAGTGTATGCTTAGGGGCACTGAAATAAATGCAGCAGGGAATTTTCAAAGTGTAAAAACCTTAAACCAAGTAATAGGGTAGGCACATTAAAGGGCACCCTCTTGCACACGAGAAATCAGCTGCCCACTGAAATATTTATAAGCTGATGGAGACATCATCTTTCCCTCAAACTCTTTTAGGGAGGACCATGGTGTGGAGGAAACACACAGGGAAGAGTGGGTCAGGCCTTGGCTCCATATACAACATAGCAGGCCACCTGAGTGCTGCAAAACCTCTGGATATTGTTCCTCAAAGACAGAATATATTTCCCCTAAATGTTTTATCTTTACAGTTTTAGTGATAGACTTCTTATATATCTTTAAAACGTTGCTGAAGGGATGAACTTTGCTTGTTCTCCATCAACAATGCAATTCTCTTTGACTGTTACTGTAAAGGAGTTAACTGTTATGTATAGCAAAGAACTGGCAATCAATGTAATATAACTCTCCAGAGCACTCAGAGCACCAGTTTATTGCTCCAGTTGTCTACTTAAGAACTTGTACCTGTAAATAAGAATTTTCTATCCAAATGTCTTCAACAGCATTTTAGCGAGCTCCACAGCAGCCCAGCAGGTAGGCCATTTCCCTCAGAGTTTTGTTGTTTCTGGACCGAGCCTGAATTTCCTAGCATGAGAGAACTTATGCAATTCTCACAGTGCTGCTATGCAAAGAATTCCTTTGGCTTTGAGACCTGCGGTGTACAGCTGTAGCAATTATACTGCTGATATTCTCTATTGAATGGATCTGTAGTGGACTCTTTGATTGTGTACATGCTTTTTAAACTGGAAGGCAGAATGCATTTCCTCTCGGTGCACTAAATCAAAGCCCCTTGTTGACTCTGTCCTTTCCGTCCCTCCTTGATTCCTGGTGGATGTATATTTTTAGGTTGTTTATTGCCACTGCTCTTTATGTATATGCCATACCACAGGACTTCCTATTTGTACCACCAACAAAATATTTTTTGACAGCCTGTTCTTAAAAATGCTGATATAATTATTGCCATTCACAAATATATTAGAACTTGTTGGTTCGCTTTACTGAAAATGCAATTTCTTCATCAACTGTTAATGGCATCAGTATATAAAACCTGTTGCTCTTGCTTTCTGAAACGATGATTGATCTGCTTGTGAGGCTTGCTTCTACCCCTTAACCAACATTTCTTTTCTGTTTTGCAAAGTGCTTGTGTCAGCAGATATGTGTTCCTGACGTGTACGGTTCGTTCATTGGCTGTGTGGCTATGGGAGCTCATACCTAAGGGTGCCTTGCAAACTGTGTTACTCTACAGAGAACTGTATTGGCTTTTCGGGAGTGTAAGGAGACTTGAACCCTCAATAAGATCAAAGTGAACGTGTGCAAATAAAAGCCAGAAAGGAAACAGATCAATCAAATAGGAGGCTGTAACACTTGTAATGATTGCTGTGGCTAGTTCTTTGCTTCTGATGGAAGATGTCTGTGTGCTCCCTGCTTCATACCGCCTGAAACTTCCCATAATGTGCTGTCTTCTCTCAATTAGCATCCTTGTATGTACCTTTTCCCATTTTGTGAGCCGATAATAGCAAGAGATACTGAAATGGATGTCAGATTAATACCAATCCTTCCTTTTCCCATATCTGATGGTGTGGTGGTTATTGAGGAATGCCTTTTTCATTTGTTAATCCTTTCATTAGCAGCAGTTGGTTTTACCACCAGGAACATGATAGTGCTCATGGCATGAACATTACTGAATGCACAGCAGATTGTATCTTCTACCCACGCAGGATTCCCAACAAGGGGACACTCTGTCACACTGTTGAAATGTGGAGATTCCTGAAACATAAATGTAAATCAGCTTTTTGCCTTAGTACAACAAGAGCCGGGCTGTACCTCAGCTCCGTGGGTCATGCCAGGCAGCCTGACAAGAGTACAAGCAATGTCAGTCCTCTGTACAGGATGTTTTTCACCAGACTGGGACAAAAATTATAGTCTTATGGTCTTTTCTGTGGGGATGCCCTTCTCTAAGGACATCTGGGGATTGAAGGAGAAGTAGCATCTGTCCTGGGATGGAGCATCTCATGAATTTGGATCAGCTCCATTTCATGTAGTCTTAAATCTCTTACTACTCCCTGGGTAAAAGAGCAGTGAAAAAAATATGCAACTACTAGTTAGTGTTTATTCTTATAGGAACTAATTTTCCTGTACCTATCCAGAGGCTGCTGATTTAAGCCTTTTCTTCAGTTATCTCAGTCTACAGTGCTTCTGTTGGAACTTCCAGAGACTGATTCCTCCCAGTGATGCATGTCTGTGTGGGTCAACAATCACCATGGCCAATAATCACTGAAAAAATGACATCGTAGGGAAAAATCCCTGTATCTTACTTGTATGTCATTTCATCTAATGTGTGAGCCCTAAATATCTGGGCTGTGTTGCATGAGATAACGTTTCCCTTTACTAGGGAGTAGATGTGATACCAATATGAAATGGAGGGAAGAGCGCAAGCACTGCACAGCTGTGTAATACAGGTAAGCAAGTTTAATGGCTGATAATAACGAGTGAGCTCAAGCCTCTTGACGAGTCACCCCAGTAATGGCGAAGGTTCTTTAATATTTGGACACCGTGGATGCATGGACTTCTAACTTGGTAGCATGTCACAGGTATGTAGTAGATGTGCCTGCATAGTCTTTTGTCAATGCCCCTTGGATTTCCCTAAAGTAGTTTACTGCAACTGGAAGAACTTGTAGCATCAAGAAATCATGCTTGTGAAGAGAGAAAAGAACTAAAGAAAAGGACTTTAAAGAAAATTGCACTCATACATGTATGTGTACTTTGAATGGTGACACAGAAAATCATCCTGGGTTTTGCTTCTACATCATGAGATATCTGCAGCTGCTCAACAATTCTGGAACCATATATGTTGTAGGGCTGCTTAAGATAAGGTCGAGGGAGGTGATTGTCCCGCTCTACTCTGCGCTGGTGAGGCCTCACCTCAAGTACTGTGTGCAGTTCTGGGCACCACAGTATAAAAAGGACATGAAACTGTTGGAGAGTGTCCAGAGGAGGGCTACGAAGATGGTGAAAGGCCTGGAGGGGAAGACGTACGAGGAACGGCTGAGGGCACTGGGCCTGTTCAGCCTGGAGAAGAGGAGGCTGAGGGGAGACCTCATCGCAGTCTACAACTTCCTCGTAAGGGGGTGTCGAGAGGCAGGAGACCTTTTCTCCATTAACACTAGCGACAGGACCCGCGGGAATGGGGTTAAGCTGAAGCAGGGGAAGTTTAGGCTTGACATCAGGAGGGGGTTCTTCACAGAGAGAGTGGTTGCACACTGGAACAGGCTCCCCAGGGAAGTGGTCACTGCACCGAGCCTGACTGAATTTAAGAAGAGATTGGACTGTGCGCTTAGTCACATGGTCTGAACTTTTGGGTAGACCTGTGCGGTGTCAAGAGTTGGACTTGATGATCCTTAAGGGTCCCTTCCAACTCAGGATATTCTATGATTCTATGATTCTATGATATTATTGATGGAAATGCACCACAGACAAATACATGTGTACATATGGACTGCTTGTTTCTTTGCAGAATCCTTGTAGTTTCCATAAAGGCATGCTGACTGGGAGTTTAAGACTCATTTTTCAAAATCACCCGAAGGCAGATGAACTACCTGAGCTACTCCTGGTAAGAAGTCCCATGGGGAATTCTTCTGAAACCACAATGCCTGCTCAGAGAAGTAGCCTGCTAGCAAAGGAGGTAAGATGATCACAAGCTGGCTCTTACACTGTCACATCTCCTGTGTATATATATGTCACAGTGCTTGATCTTCTGGGTCAGATGATATTTTCCAAACTGACATGTTAATAATTTTCCCTCCGGAAAGTCTGACAGTGTCCAACGTAGTTGTTTTGGCTCTAGGATGCCATTTTGTGTATAGATGGGTACCATGGTCAGACTCATATTAAACATTGGCAAATTATCTCCAATATTGTAAGTAAACGGACTCCTCCCAAAAAATGGTACTGAAATGCTTTACATATTAAAACCATCATGTCAGTTAATGGGATCCAGCCATTTCTGAAAGCTCATTTTCTTTTAAGTAAGTAAATGCAGTCAAATCTTTTAATGAGAAAAATGTGCTTATACATACCACCTTTTCCTTCCAAATACTGTAAGCCTACTGTACAAGCTCTGATCCTAATTTTGCCTCTTTTACTGGAGGGTGGGGGTAGGAGGTGGAGGATGAGTGGTAATAGAGAGAGTTAGAAAAATCCTCTAGCTTAGGCACTGCAAAATGACATTGCATGGGTTGGAGACTTTTGTAGTGTTTTGGCAGTTTAAGATTAAACAAATAAAGTCACATTCTTGTCCATGCAGAGAAGCTGAACCTCCATTTCTCCCCTCCGTAGTTTTACTCCTTCCCTGCCTCTCCTTCCATTGGGAGGTAAAGATTCAACCACCCAAGCTGAAGAAAAAAGGGTTTCGTAAAAATAGCTACCTATGAGCTTCTCCTAACCTTTCAGCTCCTCTTCTGCAGGTCTCAAGACCTGCAAAATACAAGAGGTTTCCATGGCCTGTATCTGAGAAGCCAGAGAAAGGTGCCATTTGTGGTCCTCCTGCAACAAGCTCTAAAGCAGCCAGTTTGGGGCTGAATTTTGTTGTTGGTGGTGGTAGTGGTTGGTTGTTTTTTTTTGTACTGGGGAGAAAGCTTTTGTTTTCTGCTCTTCTGTCTCTCTCAACCACCTCTTGGATGGGTTTCTGCAATTTTAATTCTTTTTATAGCAAAACTTTACAGCAGTTTGGACTGAAAGTGAAGAATTCCTCATTCTCTATTGAAAGGTAGCCAAAAACTGAACTAGATGTATAAAGGGCCAAGAAGAATTTAAAACTGTTTAAAAACCTCCAGCCAGTGATCTGCTGCCAGCCCACCAAGGTTTTTAGAATTAACTTGTCCCTTTACTCTTGCCTCTGGGAAATAAACCAACTTGTTTCTGTCATAATGAGTGGAAAGTGGACAATGAGAGTAATTTGCAATATTCGGGAATGAAGATAACAGTGGTCTTGTGATTTAAGCATCACTATGCTGCCTGTACAACCTCCTAAGAGTAGTTATGTGTTAGACATTGTGCTTTTCCTAGGAGGTGCCATTCAGTGCCAGACCATATGTCTTATGGTCTTGGCTGTTGTGTTTCATAGGAGCTATACATTTAAATATGTTTGGGAGAAGCAGGATGATGTAATGCTGGAGACACAACCTCTGTGGCTCTGTAGTGTTTGAGAAAAATCAAAGCTCACCAGTTCTGAGTGCTTGCTTCGCTTTTATGTGTATACACATACACATGTGTACACAGAACACGTACACAACATGTGCATATACACACTGATCTATTTTTTATTGCTTCTTCCTTGCTTTGCTTTTAGCTCACTGTATGGAAACAGCAACAGTGGGGCCCATACACAGTTAGAATCAGTGTTAGCTAAACTGAAACAAGGCGTTGCACTGGACTGGGGATCCCAACCAACACCCCAGTGAAAGGAAATGTTGAGACATTTTAGGGTAGGGAGTTGGACCAAGCCATATATTACTCATCTCAGCTAAAGCAGTCCTAATCCTTTCTCATGATATCTTGTTCAAACACTGTAGGTTTGCTGCTATATCTATAGGGCCAGTTTGAGTAAGCTTATATTTTTCCCAACCTACATTTTCCTGTGATTTGGAGAAAGGCTGTAGAAAAAAGACTTGGAATAAAATTGAAGATTTCCCCAATTCAGGATGATTTGGGGAAATTCTGTTCATTCACTTGGCACACAGAGGTCAAATGTAAACTGTGTCCAAACTGAACCCTGGTTTAGTCCAATTTGTTCAGTTTGTCGTGTTGTTTTTTTTTTTGTTTGTTTGTTTGTTTGTTTGTTTGTTTGTTTTTTTCCTAGACTAGTTTAATTTGCATAGTGTAGTGATGGTGTCATTGATGTCATCTCACACCTAGCTGGTTTTGCATTCAGAAGAGTGCTCCAGTCCGACAATGTTATTGTGCCATTATGAATATATGAACTAGGTCAGAGCTATGTTAT